GGTCAGCTTTTTTATTCGTTACGGTGGCCAATTTACAATTTCAACTGAGTTGATATAACCAAATTACCTTGTTACCCCCACCGACGCAGCACCACAGTTTCTTTAAAAACTTTTAGCCTTTATACATGTAGTCAGCCTGAAAGGCGTTGGGATTGCAAATTCTACTCCTGCTACACAGAATTCTCTGGCTGAATTTTAACAACCTGGGTTTTATATATTATTTTATTGAGGTAGATCATTTTCTGCACATGCAATTAAGAACCAATTATTTTCCTGTCCTGCCTGATTTAACTCGGTCAATAAATATATCTTATTAACCAAGCGCGAGGGCCGTACTGGGAGAATATCGGCCCGAGGTCTTGACAGTACGGACCGAGAGCAGCGAGGTCCGTACAAAAAAGACCGAGGGCCGATATTCTTCCAGTACGGTTCCGAGCAAGCTTGGTTAATAAGCCTTATTTATTATACGACTGACGTTCAAAGGGACACAAGTGCGTATCATTCGGGTCCATTCGGGACAGTGCCCGGTCCAATACTGAGAGAATATTGACCGGCAATAGAGCATTTTGATTGGTTGATTTTAGTTATTGGTCCTCTGACTGCCCGAGTCGTTTAATAACAAATAGTAATAAAACTAAGAAGTAAAATCTCTTTTGTTGGCCTCATTTTCATGGAAAACACGCACTATGGTAAAAGAAAAAAGCTTCAGTACAGTGAAAAACGGCATTTATCCTCATATTTAAGTGTGATACGAGAAACAAATGTACACGGGTGTTTAGTGTTTTACATGTTTCAAAAGTGTGTACATTATCGATACTTAAACCGCTTACCTTTGGAAACCTTTGTCGGAGACGACGAAAGCCAGAAAAAGGTTACCAGAATTTTTGTGAATGTAATCATCTTCTACGTCCTTATCCGATTCTGTTGAATAGCTAAAAATATTGATCGTTTGTTGTTGAATCAAAATAAACTGCAGGTACCGCTTCTTGTCTTCTTGTCCGTCATGCACGTGCAATTTTCAAATTGCATTGTTTGTATGTGGTAACATATTAACATGTTAATCACATTCGTAAAAAGGATTTGTGAATATTTAATCATCACGATATCTGCTTCTTCGTGGTACTTGTTTAGAAAGGAAACGGTTAATTATCATTATTATTTTCTTTACTATCTATGCCTTACAATTCGCTCATTAGAATTTAGAATTTGTACATAGTCAGCGAAAGCATACGCATATCGAGTTATGGATGCACGAGGCGGAGCCGAGAGCTACTATAGCTCTTTAAAAAAGCATGTACAAATTATTTTATAACAGAGCGACAACATGGATCTGCGTGAAGAAGCTTTTTATTGTGATGCAGTGCAAAATTCTCACAACGCTCCCAAAAAATAAAAAATAAATAAATAAAAAAAATGTCCCTATTGCCTGGTCAAAAATACGCCACGGTTTATACTCTGGTTTGAGCGCGAACAGTTGATCTAGTCAACCGGTGACTGTGATTGAAAAGTTTTAATTAAAAGGGAAAAATGGGGAAAATCAAAGCTAAATGAACTCTAGTCATTATAAACTGTTTTAAAAGTCAAAGCCGTACACGGTGGAATTGGAGTAGACGGACTGCAGGAAACTTGCAGTATTTTCCTGGGCAACCTCCACACTGTTATTTTGACGAACACTTTTGGTTACAGCAGAAGACTAGCCAGGTACACGCACGCGTACGGGCGTGCATAAATAAAGATTTTGTTCACAGCGGCTCAGTACGACATAATTAAATAGGTCAAGCACGCACGCTTTGTTTTAAATATCCATGTAGGCGTTAAAGTATATCGTAGTATTTAAGTACTCTCGCTGTTTTCAAAACAAAGTTCGCAAAGACAGAACATGAAAGAAAGAAAATGAATATATTTAACACTGACCTGAAATTAGAGCTTTTTTGTTTTTCTTTTTTCAATGAATGAATTACTGCTAACAGATGTATATTGCCGGAAATTTTTCGACGATCAGTACTTGCAATGACCCAGGCCAGGCATTATTATTTAAAGTAACATCTGGCTAGCATCTTATTTCTTACGCTTCCGATCTCCATTCAATGAAGAGAAATTTGTTGACTGGGCTGTACCGAAAAATCGCTGACTCGGCGGGGTTGTAAAGCGCCTTCATTACTTTATCGCTACATAACTGGATGTTGTCATTGAGGGTTATTGACGATAAAGAAAAAAAGATGGTTTCATCTACGAATCATCTAGGCCATAGCCAGTACTAGGCTGTAAAATTCAAGATCGATTTCGAAACGAGTAACTTATGTCATGTTACATCAACAAATTGGTTTTGAATTAATTATCAACATATTTACATTATAGTCTCGACTTCTAAACACGTGAAAGTTATAATTTTTGTTCAGTTACGAACTCTGCGTTTGCCTTCTTTAGTAAAAGAATGAATCATCGATTTGCCGAAAGCGCCTTTTCACAAGAGATTTCTTATTTACAGGCATCAATTTACCGCAAGTTTCTGTTATTCCTCAGTGACTCATTCGAAAAATGAAAGTGTGGTATTTGTTTCGCTTGCGGCTGTACGAGTGCTTTACGCTCAATACCATGAATTCAGTCCTCACTCACCTGAGCTGAACGCCACTAGAGTGATAAAAATCCCAGAGAGAACTAAAATGTAGTGTGCCATAGCCGAACCAGTTGCAAGTAATAGACAGATTTCTTTGTCAGGAGCGCTTTCCTGTA